GTGATGAAGATAAAAAGTTTCTTTCATCCATAGTCGAATTCTAAGGTCCACAATGCTTGTATTTATTGCAAACATGCTAAAGAACCTAATAGGTCACACACAATAGGGCAATTGTGAAAGATTAAGATTGTGACAAATTAAGTTGGACTTAATTTGGTTTTGGTATGACAAAAAATAAAGAAAATAAAACTAGAGAAAGAGATTTCCTTTATTTTGGTGGATTCGGCTAACTTTGGGTTATTTATGAAAACATGCATCCCATTGATTAAACCTAAGGTTGGTCGAATACTTCCCCTATAAAACGAGCATCAAGCTATTTTTTTGTACGATTCTTATAAGCAATTGGCAAATTTCACACAAGGCAAAAATAAGTTAAGAGAGTCTAACAAAAACTCGAGAGAATAAAAGAGATTTTGCAAACATATACCAGTTAGAGTGTGGTTTTGAGTTCTACCATATTTTAGAGAAGGCTTTTTCACAAACATTCGTGTGAATTACCATTAGAGGCTGTACACTTGAACAGCTTCTTGGCTTGGGAAACTATTCGGAAGGTTACCAAATTGAACCAAAAGAATTTTGGCATTCAAGGTAACACCCTTAATTGAAATTATGCATGCTTTGTATGTATGTATGTGTGTGTATATATATATATATATTATTTGTATGATCTTGTTGATTGATCATGACTTTAGAGAATAAAAAATTTAAAAAATTTTGCTACTTTAACTCTATGTATTAATGCATAATTCCCTTCATATATAAATTTTATTTTCAAAAATCTAGAAGGCAAACAGGTGATAGAATTCAATTTTTTATAAATATCAAATGTAGTGTACAATCCCAATAAATTTTTTGAACAAGAAAATAACCCTCTCATTTGATCTCCATGAAAGCAAAAATGATCATAGGCTTGATCTCAAAAAAAGTAATTAGCAGTTCTTCAAAACGACATCTTTTGTCACATAAGAGAAGCTTAAGTGAATTCCGTAAGTGAAAGCTTGATCACGAACTGGCGAAGATAAGTAGATCTTAAAATGAATGGGCAAAGACTTATGATTCCTTTGCTGATTGCTTGGATTTAAGATAGCATGAGTGATCTTCAAAGAAACAATCATGAAGACTTGTTATTCCTCTAAAGTTTGGTTGGATTTGATTGGCTTTGATGAAGAGATAACTTGATAGCCTTGACTTGAACTTGAAGGGATTGCTGGTAAATCTTGAAGGCTTGAGAATCTCTAAGGAGGTTAAGGTTTCTTTTCTTCGAAATTGCTTCCAAATGATGTGGAAAAGCTCTCTAGTAATAGTGTTAGATGATATTACGTGAGAGAGATCCAAAAGAACTTAAATATTTTAATTTTATTTTTAATTATTTTAATTTAATTAAAGTTAAAATTGAAGAGAACTCAAGATAAAATTTAATTAGATAATTTAAGAGTTTTTAAATTTTAATTGGTTAAGCTACGTGTTTTTATCTTGAATTTTCAAGTGATTTTTGATAAATCTTCAACCAATTTCTTAACCAATTAAATATTTAATTTAGTTAATTAAAATATTTTCCTCAAATTTTCGATTTCTATAAAACCCTCCCAAAGAAAACCCCAAATTGCTGTCTATAGAGGCCATGAAAGCCCTTTTTTTCTTCCTTCTAAGCCCTCTTCTGAAAATTAAACTCTTACGTTTCTCTTGAAAAGGAAAGTATATTTATAACTTTTCTCAAATTATTTAAATTTAGATCTTGATTATTAAAATTAAAAATTTAATTGTCCGTTATATCAAACACTTATTTTGGCTAAAAAATTCTTTCAGCTCCTTTGAAAAACAGAACCGAAATTCTAACCAAATTAAATTTGGCTCAAAAAGTTTGATGACATGGCACAAGCAAAGCCATCCACTTTTTTGGCTTTTTCTTTTTTACGGCAAGTGGCAGACCCAACTTTAAGAAACCTCTAGCGGTGCAATTAAGATAATTGAGCGGATGCAATAAAATATTTAAGTTTGAGTTTGATTTAAAATTTATCATTTGACATTTGAGTTTAATTAAATTTTAATTTTTAAATTTAAATTAAATTTGAAAGAAAAATTAAATTATTTGAATTTATTTAATTAAATTTATTTAATAAAAATAAATTTAATTTTTATATTTAATTTTAAATTTACTTAAATATTCGAATTTAGGTTCAAATTGATTATATATATATAAAATAATAATTTTTAATGAAAATAATAAAAATATATTAAAATTTAAAAATTCATCAGGATCACGAATTATTTGAATTAAATAATAATATATTTAAATTTAACTTGTTTAATTAATCGAATTATTCAAATTTAAATTCGATTAAATAATAATTGAACTGAATTTAAATTTTATTTAAATTAAATTCAAATAATTTATAAATATTAATATGTTATTTATACATCTAAAAATAACAAGTGGACGGTACATTATCCCATCTGCTAATAAAACAAAGGACAAACAAAATTGGAGGAGTGGAAATATTAAACAAACCAGTCTCTTTTTGCACAGCTCCATTTAGCAATCCAGTCTGCAGCAAAATGCTTGTCTCGGTATGTGGATAAAGGACCATGCTTTTCCTTTCTTCACTAAATCTTTGATTGCCAGAACAAGTGGATGGTAAGGACGATTCGGGGCCAACCTTTTTGGCTTTCGAATAAAAGTGAAACAACGATGAATGATGTTTTCCTGGAAAGTTGCATTTTGAGCATTTGGTTTAATAGTAAGAATATTTTTCATCTGAAAAGTTGGGTTTGAATTTAGTTTAAGAGTTGTTTGGGTCGGACTTTCGAAATATTTCTTTGTGAACTTTGTCGGTAAACTTCCCCGTACTGATTTATGTAAACTAATGAACATATATATATAGACATCAGTTCGTTCAACCACCAACTATTATTACATTTTTTTAAAATAAAAATATAAGGTAGCATATTAATGAATTCAATAATGAAATTTCTTTTGATATTTTAAAGGTAAAAAAATATCTTAAATTATTATTTAACATATTAAAATAATTTAAAAATAATTTTTAATAATTAATTTTTAATAAAATTTTTTTAAAAATTTTGAATAACATCAGATCATTTAATATAATCCATTAAATGAGTGTTATAAGGGTATTATAACTTTACTTATATAAAATCGTATTTTCAGATCTTATTTGATTTCGTAAATTAAAATTTATTTTTTAAAAAAATAAAATTTAAGTTCAATTTAAAATTTTTTTAAAAAATAAACATATTTAATTAAATGTCAAGTCATAAAAAAAAATTAATACCAATTCATCTTATTATATCAAATGATAAATTTTCAACGAATTTGATTATGACATATACTAACAATGAAAGATCATCTAAAACTCTTACTATATCTAATGATAAATTTTCAAACAATAAATTTTCGTACGAAAACGATTATGACATATTCTAACAAGGAAAGATCATCTAAAACTTGCATGTGAAAAACTTTAATTAATTGGTTGACGAGTGATAATGACCATTGCCAACCCAATAATATTTCTTCTTCCTCCTCAAACCAGGCTCTGCAATTCATTGCACTATTCATAGTGTTTTAGATGCTATTTCACTGTTCCCAATAGCTCAAACTACTCTATCGACTGATGGTGGGACGACTCATGGTAGCTAGAGTGGCTACCAGCCCTTTAAAAATTTTTATCCTAATCTTAATCTTAATTCCTCAAGGTTGCTTTTCTTTTCTCTATTACTTTCTAGGAAAAGAATATGTCTTCAATTTTAAATTTCAATCTATAGAATTTATATGAATTCTAAAGTTAGTTGAATCAATTTAAATTTGAATTTAATCTAATATGATTTAATAAAAAATATTAATAATCTAAGTCGATATGACCCAAATTTAAATAATTTAAATTATTTTATTTAACTCAAAATGACTAACTTAAATTTGACTTATTCAATTAAACCTTTAAGTATAACAATATCTAACAAAGTAGAAAAAGATGCCATTTGACATTTATATCCTAATCAACAATATATGTCATGATCTCAAAATTAACTAAATATCGACTGTGTTAGAGTTAGATTGAATAAATAAGTGTTGACACAATTTTTAATTAATAAAATTATTTTTTGTAGGACAAAATCAAAGACTCAAATTTTAATTGTTGGGGCATCAGCTTGATGCACTTTACACATCCCATTATAACCTCCATTACAAGATTTCATTTTACAAATGAGTATTTCGTAATCAACATTATATTTCGCGGTCTCAAAAAGAAAATTCACAAATCTCATATAAATTGTGTATTAAAATTAATTTAAGATGTGGTGTAACCCCCTATAGTTGAGTGGAGTCAATTGACCACCACTTAACTCTGAAAAATTCAACTCTATAGAGGTTTATAGTAATAAAATTTTGTTCTATTTTCATTTTTTGATCATTGAAATTAATTAAAAATCCACATAAATGGGCCAAAATAAGTAAATGACAATGAATAATATGTTGTTGTCAAAAACAAATTTTTAAAAGCTTTTTATTTGTACTATAATTTATAATGGACATATGCTTTTCTTCGATTTAATTTGACCGGCAACTTACATTCAAATATAGTTATTTTCTATAAAAATAAGATCATGCATTTAATATATTATCACATGTAGTAGCATTTAGTATTTACTAATTATTCAATAATATTATTATTTATTTTTTATCTAAACATATGGTCTTTTGTTTTTTGGTTTTTTTTCCTTTTTGTAATTTTCTTTTCTGACGCCATTGAAATTAATAAAAATTTAAAAAAAGGTCAAAATAAGTAAATGAAAATGAGTAACATGTAATTTTCAAAAGAAAAACTTAAAAAAACTTTATATATGTATTATAATTTATAAATATGGCCATATGTTTTTTCTTCGATTTAATTTGATCATACTTAATAAGAATATTTTATTAATATGTAAAATGTTACATACAATCAAATATATAAATAATTATTTTCTGTAAAAGTAAAATCACGCATTTTATAACGTTAGCGTGGCTTGATTATTGCTTTTAAGGTATTCTTCATGACTACAGTAAACTCTAATTTCCCACTAAAATCAATCTTGCTATTAGTTGGATAGGCAGTCCATTCAAATTCCTGAACCATTCTTGCTAACATTAGGTGAACATGAACTGTGGCCATCCCCAATCCAGGGCAAATCCTCCTCCCAACTCCAAATGGCATCATTTTCACCCCTGTTACGCCTGTTATATCGGCATCCTCTTTCCCTGAATAGAACCTATCCGGGTCAAATTTTTCAGGGTTCGACCACATTTTTTGATCCCCACCAATCCCTGGCAGGAAAATCTCTACATTTGCATCGGTTGGGATGTCGAATCCCCCCAAGGTCGCTGGCTCAGTAGCTGCATGAGTTAGTGAAAAATATGTTGGTGGGTGCCTTCGTAACACTTCTTTAACTGTTGCCTGTAAATACTTCAGTTTCTCTACGTCTCTCTCGTCTACTTTTCGCTCCCCAACCGTCCGTTTAATTTCATCGTACAGCTTAGATTGAATATCCGGGTTCTCAATCAGCTGTGCGATACCCCATTCAATTGCAGTTGCAGTGGTATCGGTCCCACCATTGAGGAACTCAGAGCAGAGTGAGACCAGCTCTGCATTGGATGGTGATGATTTTCTTCCTTCTACATTGAGATCAAAAAGGGTGTCCAGGTACGAAAACGACATGGCGTATTTATCCGAACCTGGATTTAGAAGAGCTTCTCGACGCTTTTCGATGAATGGGACAATATATTCCACTTGCTCATTACGAACTTGGAGTGCTCTCTTGCGTTGCTTGGAGAAAAAGGGGTTTAAAATGGGAAGATAATCATCAATCCTTGGATCAAGTGTAATTAAAACACTTTTCATTACCTGATCCATTTTCTCAACAGTTTCATCATCCATTTCAAACCCAAAGCACATGCCTAAGAGTATACAAAACACAGCGAAACGACCATTTTTCAGCACCGAAACAACGCCGTTATTAGCCTCAGCTTCTGCTCGAAGACGATCGATGAGTTTATCCATTGCATGCTCTCTTGTACTACGAAACTCTTTAAGCCTACTTGAACTTAGCATATTCTGAACCATGTTTCGCCTCAGAGACCTCCACACAGGCCCGTAAACCGCTGCATTTACGGTGAATTTGTTGCAGCTAAAGATGTTTCGAGTGGGATTTTCTCGTGGTCTGCTGGCGAACAGAGCACCCTTTTCGATAAACGCTTCATGGCAGAGCTTCCCGTCGCTGAGTATAATCATTGTTCTAGTCCCCATTCTGAGAGTGAAAATTGGTCCATATTTTTGGCGAAGATCCTCAATATACTCAAAGAAGGGCTTGCCAGAGCGAGCAGCCTGAAAAAGATTACCAACAACAGGCCAACCAGGGGGCCCTGGAGGGAGGTTTAGGCGTTTTGATTTTGATTTGCGAGAAAGGAAGAAAATTAGGCATGAAATGAAGAATGCAACGAGTGTGAAGAAGAGATGGTAGTAAGAGGACAATGAATCAGAACTGAAATGATAAAAGGAAGTAGCCATGTTAAGAGGTAGTGATGGAGGCTGAGAGATGATAGTTGAGCATGCACGGGTATAAAAATGAGAAGAGCATGAAATTGCAGGTGGGTTCAATTAAAGCTTCTCAGGGAGAGGTTTCTACCATTACTGGTTAGGTGGGACGGTATTGAATGCTGGAAAACCAGCACACGGAACTAACTATGGGGCCAGAAACCACGTAGAATTGCATCCTAGCTAGCTAGCCTTGCTAACATGAAATGCCAAAAGCAATTGCAGGCCATTCATTTAAGAACATAGGAAATGTAAAAGTACTTGTCCTGAAATTGCATGAGACTGTGTCAGTTAAACGGTAAGTGTAAAAACCAGGGATGTAAGAAAAACCTATGGGTGACGAGAATGCCGTGGCTCAATGATCAAAAGATGCAAAAAATTCAAGGAGTAGTAATAAATGAAGTCAGTGGATTCTGAGACCAGATTCTTGAGAGCATGGAAGCTATCGTAGAAACGCCTGAATCGAGAGAAAGGGATTTGGTTCAGAGTGAACTGGAAGCTGTTGTCAACTTTTAATGATAGTAATGACAGTAATTATTGATGAATGGGTAAGAGTTAAAATTATTTTGCTAAGAAATATGGTAAATTTGGATAAGTTGCAACTGGAGACAATTTACAGGCCGAAAATTAATGTTTTTTTATTCACTTTTTTCATACATTCAGGACAACACAATTTATTGAGCAAAATAAATCAAAACTAGCTTGACGCCTAAAATTTTCACTTTCAAATTATCCAAAGGTTGTATATAGTTTGTAGTAGTGATGGTAATGGATCAGATCGAAGCAAGTTTTTATTCATTTCGAATTCGATCTGATTTATATATATAAAATTTGAATTTGATTTAATTCGATAAATTTTTTTATTTTTTATACTCGAATCCGATCCGATCCGATACTGTATAAAATCATATTCGATTTGACTTAAAATTAATAAAATATTATTTTTATTATAAAATAAAATTAAAAATATATAAATAAATATAAAATTAAATAATTAATTAAAAAATAATTTTTATATATCGAGTCAAGTAGGGTTGGGTTTACTTAAAACTCAATCTTGACCCGACCTCAAATTTTATTTTATATTACCCAACCCGACTCGACTCGATACTTGATTTAAAAAAAAAATAGATCCTAAAAGATCGAGTTAAGTCGGAACCCGTTATATTCGAGTTAGATTGCCTTCTTTAATTTCTAATTTAGGCTACTACTTTGATTTATATTATTAGTCATAAATTAGAGCTTGTGTTCATATTTTCTAATCCTAAACGATTACATTTCTCACTCTCTAATGATCTAAAGGTTGTATGTAGTTTCTAGTTTAGGCTGCTACATTTATTTATATTTTTAATCATAAACTGTAGCTTGTATTCATATTTTCTAATTCTAAATTTTTTTATAGTTTCCTAACTTTAATCTAGTCTTAAATTTCTATTATAAAAGTCAAAGATAATGGTTTTAAATTGCTGCAATTTACAGCACATTACTTGTAACTTTCTCCCCTTAATGTGTTGTTCTTGTACTCTAAATGCTTCCTTATAAAATTTGAATTTCTCCCTCGGTAACACCTTGGTAAATATATCAACTACTTCTCGGCATGATGCTTGATTGCAATATGCTTTATTTTGCTATGAAAAAGGATTCTTTGACATAGCAATAGCAGACTTGTTGTCACAATAAATTTTAATTCCATCTTTTTGTTTTTCATGAATATCTTCAAGGATTCTTCTCAACCAAATTGTTTGAGACGTCACTGGAGAGGCAACCACATATTCTAATTCTGCAAATGATTAGGCAACAAAATGTTGCTTCTTAAAACACCATCACGATTAGGGATGTAATCGAGAAGAGTCGAGTTGATATAGTAAAAATCTTGAGCTCGACTCAAAACTTATTATTCGAAACTTGACTTAAATTCAATTGACTTTTAATTTTCAAATTTGAGTTTGACTCGGGATAAAAATAAAATTACTCAAATTCGTTCGATTAGTATCATATAACGAATAAAAAATTAGCATAATTTTTAATTTTGATTTCAAACTTAATTTTGAATTGATCTATATAAAAATAAAATAATAATTTTTAATTAAAATAATAAAAATATTTATTAAAATATAAAACTTAATTAAATTTATGAAGTACTGAAATTAAATATTAGGATATTAAGAGCTATTCAATTTGGTTCGACATAAAGTATGGAGTGGAAAAAATAATTTTTGGTGATTTTCTTTGGCTTTTCTAGCAATCAATCAATGGTTTCATCTTGTTGCCCCAACACACAGCCCATAGAATGGTCGTACACCTTGAGATACAAAATTAATGGTTTCTTTGCAATAGGTGGTACTAACATCAAAGGATTTGACAAGTACTCTTTAATCTTTTCAAAGGTATACTAACATTCTTCATCCCATTTTCCAAGATCATGTTTCCAAAGCAACTTGAAAATTGGGTTACATTTAGAAGTAAGTTCAGAAATAAAGCAAGAAATGTAATTCAACCTTTCTTGAAAACCCCTTACTTCTTTTTGTGTACATGGAGAAGATAAGTTTTAGATGTTAAGAATTTTATCTGGATCAACTTCAATGCCCCTTTTACTAACCACAAACCTTAACAATTTTCCTGACTTAACATCAAATGTGCACTTTGTTGGGTTTAACTTGAGTTGATATTTTTACAATCTTTCAAACAACTTTTTGAAATTGGTAACATGATCCTCTCATTTACGAGATTTTACAATCATATCATCCACATATACCGTAATTTCTTTATCCATCATGTCGTGGAAGAGGGTTACCATAGCTCTTTGATAAGTAGCTCTTGCATTTTTCAACCCAAAAGACATAACTTTATAACAGAACGTGCCCTACATGGTAACAAATGTAGTTTTTTCCATATCAATAGGTACCATTTTAATTTGGTTATGTCCAGAAAAACCATCCATGAAGGAGAATGTGGAATGCTTAGCAGTGTTATCCATAAGAGTGTCAATATGAGGTAAAGAAAAATTATCTTTTAGGCTGGTTCTATTCAAATCTTTGTAATCTACACACATCTAAATTTTTTTGGCTACCTCTAAAAGCTTGTATCAAATTATTTTTTTACTTCTTCTTTGATTTTTAACAACATGGCCAGCTTCATGTGCCTCAATTTCTGTTGTACCGGCTTACCTTCTGGCTTTAATAGCAATTAGTGTTCAATAATATTTGAACTGAGTCTTGGCATATCTTGCTATGACTATGCAAACACATCAATGAACTGACGAAGCAATTCTTTCAACCTTCCTCTTTCTGTGTGTGAAAGGGATGTGTCCCATCTTAACCTTCTTCTTCTTTTCCTCATCACCTAAATTGATTATGCTTATAACTTCTGCATAAGGTTCAATTTGTTTCCTTTCTTATTCCATTAGTTTTAATAAATAATGGGGTAAATTGTCCTTATCTGAATATTTTTCATTATCAAGTTCATCAATATGAATAAGTTTTTCAAAGTCAAATCTTAGATTGTCGTCATGATTATCTTTATATTCATTATTTGAAAACTTAAAAATGGGTGAAATTAAAAGGATGTAGGCTTATGTGCGAGAAAAAAAAAAAGAAATTGTAACTTGAATGAATGAAATAATAGAGAAAAAGTAAATGCAAAACACTAGTCATTTTATTGAAATGATAAAAGAAAGATTGCCCGTGCAAAACTCTTCCCAATGCTCTTGGGCAGAAGTATTAGGGAAAATTAACTCACTACATTACTTTGTGAAAGATTTAAGGATAATTGGCAACTTCATTAATTTTCAATTGTTCAACTCTTCACCCGAAGGACATGGATAAACAAGAGGCTCATCTTCCTAACTGGTTATTACTGCATCTTCCACCATATGGAGTTTAGAAAAAGCTTTTTCCATGTTCAACATCGATTCCCTTTGTGTGTCCTTTAATAGATTAGGGTGGACATATCCATCTAAATAAAATGTATCATATAAGTAAGGGATGATCATTCTTTCATATTGTAGCTCATGTCCTTTAAGTCATGCCAATCTTTTTTCCCTCTTTTCAGCCATGGCTTTCTTTCTTTTCACTATAGTGACTTTAAATCCCAATCCAAACCTTTTTCTGTTTTTAAATACTCTTGGTGGCTCCTTGATTCCTTGTAAATTTCTTCCAAGTCCGTATCCAACATGCCATCCTTTACCCAGTGTTTGTTTGACAATTATCCTAGTTGCATTTGATAAATGTGAAGTACGCACCTTTGATCCCTTCCCTACATAAGTTGCATTAATAAATTCAAAGGCTCTAAAAGAGCACTGCAATGCTTTTTCTGCAGCTTTCATATATGGAATAGTCATGGGCTTAGTTACCAACAAGTCCTCTTATTAAAAAACACTAATAACTTGATCTTCAACTATAAACTTTATTTTCTAATGCAAAGATGACGGGATAGCTCCTGCCATATGAATCGATGTTGTTTTAATATGAAGCTATAAGATGGTAAAATGTTCATGACTTGGAATTTTATAAAGAAAGTGTATGGCCTTATTTGCATTAGTACTTCAATGTCTTTTAACTCTTTTTTTTGAAAGTCATCGAAAGCCTTCACCATCATATGGTTGGTTTTCATATGTGATACATCAATGGGTAATTTTGTTAGGGTGATCATTGGCATAATATTGATTGAAGAGCCATTATTAATAAAAACCTTAGCTATGATATAGCCTTTACACATAGTAGTTTATGAAGGGCCTTGGTACTACCATTTCCTCTGGTGAAATTTCATAATCATTGAAAGTCATGACATTTGGCATTATAATACTCTACATAATATGATCAACATTCTCAATAGAGATATTACAGTCCATATGTGCTTGATTCAACACTTTTCAATAGGGCATTTTGATGGGGTTTAGAATTCAATAATAGCAAAAATAAAGAAATTTTGATAGGCATCTTGTTCAACTACTCTATTACGCTATATTCACTATGTTTAATCAACTTGAAAAACTCACAGCTTTTTTCTAAATGACATGTTCTTTATATTGTGCATCTTAAGCCACTGTAGAATAAGTCTTATCTCATTCTCTCAACATCTCTTCTTTACCTTTTCGAGCTTTCTCTATCATTTCAAGAGTATAACATCTCCCAATCTTCA